GCAAGTGGCAAGATTCGAACGTTGCCTTGAGTGAGGGGATGCAATTATACATTTTTTTTTTCTTTTTTTTCGCAAGTGGTAAGATTTGAATGTTGCCCTGAGTGAGAGGATGCAATTATACGTGACCTGATATTACTGAACTCGAAAGCTCAAGTGTGAGGTTTTATATATTTTAGACTAATTATAGTAATAAAATAAAATTTATAAACTAAAATATACAAATTATATGTTGCAAAGTTAATAGTCTCAAATATAAAACTTAAGGGGGTTATGCCGAAAAATTACTACTACTTTTAGAAGATAAAAAAAATTAAAAATAAAACTTAATATTAACAATAAATAAATAAATGAAATTGAGGGGAAGACTGGAACAGGAAAGAGGAAGGATAGCTTTTTGTTGCCTGGTTCTTCACTGTAATTGCCAAAGAAAATCCGAAGAATTCTCTGAGAAGCAACAGAGTCTCTCCTTGGTCTCTGCAGTTTCTCAAAGCCAACCTTTTGATGCTTCCTTATCTGTTCTCTCCATCTGTTTCCCATTGATTTCCAATCTCCGCCTCCACATGTGCTTGTCTTTTTCTCTCTAGTCTCTCTTGCCATTTTTCTTTACCGAAATCGTTCCTTTCAATTTTTTTCAACATATTTTCTCACATTTTTCAAGCTTTTTTTGGTTTCTTTCACGTCAAACCTCAACTTGGTATTGTCCATATATCGTTTTCTCTAGGGTTTTAATTTTCCCTTTCTGGGTAACTTGATTCTCACTCAATTTGAACTTTCGGGATCCTGGGTACCCTTAGATCTTGCTTTTATTTGGTGGGTGCTCTTTGGTTTCTCGAAATTTTTGATCTTTCAGCTTAATTCAATGTCACAGGGCTATGCAATTGAGCTATATTTCGATCCAGCCCTAGAGAACCAAGTCTTGAAAGCATGGAACGTTCTTGCTCGGCGTCAAATCAGTACCCAGTTGATCGAAATCGAATCAAGACCCCACATTACTCTTTTCTCTACTCCCTATATTGAGCCTACCAAGCTTGAGTCCATCGTGAAGAATTTTGCTTCAAAGCAGGAACCGTTGCCCTTGTCTTTCTCTGCAATCGGGACATTCCCTAGTGATAAGAATGTCCTGTTTCTTGCACCAGTGCCGACGTTGTCTCTTCTACAGTTTCAGTCTCAGTTGTGTGATGCGATGAAGAAGGAAGGAATTGAAATTGGAGATGAGTACAAGGCGGATTCCTGGATTCCCTACTGCTCGGTGGCTCAGGAAGTGCCCAAGACTCGAATGGCAGAGGCTTTTTGCGTCTTGAGGGACTTGAAATTACCGGTTAATGGGTATGCAATGGATATTGGATTGGTGGAGTTTTCACCTGTTCGTGAGCATTTCTCGTTTATGCTTGGTAACACCATAGATGCTTGAGGTTTAGAGGTCTTTCTAATTCTCTGTGTAACTTAACTGTTCAGTTCAAATGTCCTCCATGCTTATTGCTAGCATAGGTCCATATCAACTATAGATTTTAATTGCAATATTGATGTCTAATATGTTGTTCAAAGAACAGTTGTGGCTTATTGTTGTATCTTGACTTGCTTGCTGAAATTCTTTTTCATGTCCGAGGTTTATTCATGATATGTTTGAGAAGTTTATTTTGTCTCATTTACCAGCTTCAATGTTAAATGAGAAAAATATTTATTGCATTGGCCCAGATTCTTTAGTTCATTGTTGTTTGGTTTGAATGTCCACTGCTCTTACAAAGCACATGAAAATATGGCCCCTCAGTATATTATGATTGGAGGAAAGAAAATTGTTACTTTTGATTTCTAATTTAGTGAAAGTAACTTGATTTGTTATTGAAAAGTTCTTAGTTATGTGATGAACTACTGGGTTTTGCTGCAGTAATGAGCAGTAAAGTACTTTGAGAATGTATTCCACATTTTTGTCAATATGTCTATTACACCTTAGTCATTGCTTATCCCATAGTTTTCCACGTTTCTGTTTTTCAAGAACTCTACACTCCTGAGGAGTCAATTTTTTTATTTCTTTCTTTTTCCTATGTATTTTTTTTCTTCTTCCCAATCATGTAATTCAGTTCCATCATCTTGAAGGTGCCTACTTGTTGGCATTCTATCATCTACGTGGTTCTTGTTTAAAGCTAAACGTTTGTGTGGAAACTTCTTCCTTATTTGTATTTAAATTGCCAATTTTTCTTAGTTTGTCTGGATTATTTCATGCTTTTCCTTTTGATCTTAACATTACACATCTATGGGAGATTTTACCAAGCCACACCCTCTCCTTGCTTTCTAAAGTGTGGCATAATATCTTGAACTTTTGGGATTTCTTCTCTGTGATGTCAGGAGAAATTATTTGATATTCACATCTCTTAAAAGGGTGTTATGATCACTTTAGGATCAAATTTTTATCATCAAGCAAAACTTCTTCAGATGCATCTCATACATGCTTATTGTTCTACAAAAATAAAACTTGTATCCGCAGGTTCCAACTTTGTTTCCTGAGAGGTGGAAGTTTCCCTCACATGCATATCTTGTTAGGGTTAAGAGTAGATCACATCGTAAAATTTTGTGTTTGGACTTTTGATTGTTAAAGTCTTACAAAAACTTCAGTCTTCTCTATGTTGTGTCTTTTTTATGCTTCCTTCCTTCTATTTCCTTGTATTTTTCTTTGAATTTGGCAACACGTGGGAAGTCTGTCTTGTAAGAACTTCAATCTTTGTTACTTTATTGTGTCTATGGTTCCTTCTATTTCGTTAAGTTTTCTCACTGCATGTTTCTACCCTTGTAATTTCTCATTAAGCACACTCTCAACAAAAGCATGAACCGTGTATGCATAAATTCACACCTTTTGTTGAAATCTATAGACTCTGAAGTATCACAAATGATTTGCTGTATTGATCTTTTGATGCTGTATAATTGTGTTTTGTAGTAATTAGTTGATCAGTCAGCATGATATAAGACAGTCAGGAGAGTTGCAAGTGAGCATTCCAATCACCAAGACTCTCTGATTGGCACCTTAGGAAATTTCGCGTCTCACTTAGATAATATCATAGTTTTCTTCCTTCCTTCCATGTTGTTTCTCTTTCTTGTGGAATGAAACTTTGCATGCTCTGTTGAACTGTCATCCTTGATCAAGATATTGTGACTAATGCATCCAGTACTAGCCCCAGAATCTGTTTTTGAAAAATAGTAATTTTTAAGTACCATATGAAAAATTTAGTAAAAGTTAAATAAGTAAAAAATCATATACACGCGAATTTAAAATCACATAATTTGTTTAATTAATCTCCTATGTTGTCAACAACGTTAGATCTTATGAGTAAAATCATCTTGGTCATGAAAATTAATGATATAGTTTTTTTTTTTTTTTTGAAACGAATGATATAGTTTTTTATATGCATAGGAGTTGGATTAGTTTAGACACAGTTAAATGTTCATTTTAGTCCCTTAACTTTAAAATTTTACATAATTTTTGTTTTTTAATTTTTTATACACTTTTTGATCCATTAATTATGAAAAATATATTTTTTTCAAACTTTTCATTAGTTAATCCATTAAATTTATCTAAATATATGTATATTCACTCTTTAAACTTATAATATGTGCATATTTTTCTTCCCTTAATTTAAAAATTTATGGACTAAAAATATGCATAATTTACCATATTAACTAATGAAGGACTAAAAAATGTATTTTTCATAGTTTAGGAATTAAAACATGTATAAAAAAAGTTGAGAGACAAAAAAAAAGTGTAAAATTTTGAAGTTAAGGGACCAAAATAAACATTTAATCATTTAAACACTAATCCTAACCTCAAAAATTTTAAATTAAATCATGAATTCTAACCGTGCTAAATTCTTATTAAGTAATATAAATAATATATAAATTCTTGGTGCATGCGCATGTCTCCTTAATTGGAATAATATAGTAGCTAGCACTCATATACATACACACGCACAACTTGATCAGACATGTCAGGAGAAACAGTGAGCCATGATAATGACGGATTGATTGTGTTGGGGTTGTTGGTTTCTATTCTCTTGGTTTAAAACGAATGATATAGTTTTTTATATGCATAGGAGTTGGATTAGTTTAGATACAGTTAAATGTTTATTTTAGTCCCTTAATTTTAAATTTTTGCATAATTTTTGGTTTTAAATTTTTTATACAATTTTTGATTCATTAATTATGAAAAATATATTTTTTTCAATCTTTTTATTATTAGTTAATCTGTTAAATTTATCTAAATATATATATTTTTACTCTTTAAACTTATAATATGTGCATATTTTTTTTCCCTTAACTTTTTTTTTTGAACAGTTTTTGTCATGGGGTGGGTTCGAAACCCGCCCAGGGAAGGGGGATGTGCACTTTTCAATGACTCTAACCATTGAGCAACACGGGCCAAGTGCCCTTAACTTAAAAATTTATGGACTAAAAATATGCATAATTTACCATATTGTCTTGGTTTTAATGATAGGATGGGGCGCGTTCAAATTGTGCAGTGGATAAGGCCAAACAGGAGAATGGAGGGCAAGGGATAGAGATGGGTCCTTTACCCACCGGCCATATTTAGTTTTTCTTTTTTTATTATTTTTTTAATTAACTTTTTGGTATTCAACTCTTGTTTCTTTATTAATAAAATTTGAAGTTGATAATTGAATTCTTTTTATTTGAACCAATAAATCATTAATATATTTAGTTTTTTTAATATATAACAAAAGTGTTATATAATTTAAATTGTATTAGATTATGTAATATTAATTGTTAAATAAAAATTTAACCTCTTAACATTCGGAGTTCTTTTTATTTAATAGTATATATCTTACTATTTAAATTAGAAAGTAAGATTCATTTAATATATGTAGGTTCTAAGATATTGAGAACATGTTTTAAATCTAATATTTGTTGATTAATTATAATTGAACAAATACATAAATATTCTTTATCTTCGATACCTATAGAAGATGACGGATTTTCTTTAAGTTTTTCTTATATAAGTTGTGTATTATGCTTGGAAGATTTATATTTGTACTGTATATTTCTGCATATTGACTTTGTACTCTACATAAAAATATTAATTTGAAAACTTGAATTTACTAACAAACTCATAAATGTTTCGATAGAAGAATCAAAAAATCAATAAATCTCACGATAAAAAAAATAATCTCAATATAACTTCTTAATTAGCCTTAAAATGTCCTTTTTTATTTTTTCGCATTAGCTCTCAAACTTAGAGCATATCTAGTAAACTTGCAAGTATTTCAGTTTTTTGATACTATTTATATTTTATAAATTTAAATTTCTTTTTTAAAAATTTATATTTTTTAATTTCTTTTTAACCTTAAAAAGATTTTAAAAATTTTTAAACTTTTACTTTTTATAAATTTTCTTTTTTCTTACTTTTTATTATTTATAAAAGTAACTTTTTAATTTTTTTTTTAATAAAAATTTAAACTTACTATTCATAAATAATATTAAAAAATAAAAACTACAAAAACCCCACCAAACATATCCTTACTTTAGGACTTAGGAGATAGGACTTTTCAGTTTTCAGCGAGGCTGAGGCCCACCATTTTCTGAGTCCAGTCCTTACGGCACAATTGGACGTTCGTTAAATTTTCAGGAAAAGCAAAGAAGAAAAAAAAAAAAGAAAAAAGATCATTAAGAATATGGGCCTAATTAGATGACTTTACAGCCCCAATCAATCTACGGACCCATTTCTGGACGAAGGAGATTTTTTTTTGGTAAAAGGAGAAGATATATTAATTGGAAATAGGGGAAATTCAATTCCCATAATAACAGCAATACAATACTGCTTGACAGATAGCGGAATGCTTTCAAAAGTGACAAAATCATGATCAATGCCATGTCCCAGTTTCGCCATCTGGTCAGCAGCCATATTAGATTCACGGACAATGTGTTTGAGTTCAGCAAGAGGGATTTGTCGAAGCAACTCCCTGCAGTCAAAAATTAAGGCACTCAGATTATGAGATATAGGTGGGGGCTCTTGAAGGAGTTGGATAGCAACAAGAGAGTCAGATTCCACAATAAACGAAGGAGATTATTACCAGAGGCGGAGCCAGAAATTTTTTTTAGGGGGGGCAAGATGCAAGAAATTTTTTTCAGGGGGGGCAAGATGCTAAAATTTTCAAAGTTCAAGAAAAGCTAAATAATTTTTCATATACTAATTTGTAAATTTTTCAAATTTCAGGGGGGCGAGCGCCGCCCCTCGCACCCCCCTGCCTCCGCCACTGAATTTATTACAGAGTGAACAGCTGGAGAGTTTTTTTTTTTCATCATCAAAGTTTGTTTATTTTTCTTTTTTCTTTTTTTAACCAAACTAAACGTCATATTTCTTTTTCTTGCTTGATTTTATTTTTATTCAATTAAGGCAAATTTGCACAATATTTGTCTGATTTTCTAGGTTGGGAGAGAATGAACAATACTTCAAAATTTTATGTGATTAAACAAAAAGGAGATCACATTTTTTTGTGTTAAAGAAACAAGAAAAGAAAATCCCTAGGGTAAATCTATTATTAAGTGATTGTTATTTAGTACATGATATTTATGCCTTCCCCATATGGTACCATATTGAATTACTGTATCAAAAGTTTTCCCAATCCATCCGAATCCATTTTATTGATTTTTTCAGGCAAAGTTTAAGGTTTACAAGCAAAGAAACAAACATGACATGACTACTTCAAAACCAAATAATTGGAATGCTGCCTTATTCAAAATACTACTAACATTGCCAGATAATGTCACTACTCCTGAAAAGCAGAAAAAAAAAAAAACCATATTATCGCCGGATATACCGGCACGATGGCGGGTCAGCCGGCCCCGGCAGAGTCACCAGCCTGTGGTACAGTACTTATCCATCTGTATCACTTCAATCCTGATCTGATCATGTACAAATTGACATCTCACCAAACAGATAAAGTGACAAAATCCTTGAGACACTCTCACATTCTTCTTTTGCTTTTTTATTTAGATGTGGCATTGTTGCAACTATTGCAAGTGTTTGTCTTTAGGACAAGACACAATGACATTAAAGTTGTTTTTTTTACTTTGGTAGTTCACCAACTGTCAAAACCTTGCACAGCAAATGTACTTTGTCGGCAGGATGTATTTACAGCTTATTTTGCAATGTGGCCTCAGTATTTAATTAATCTTCTACACCTTTCTTTTCCAGTGTGTCATCTATGGAGTTTGATTTAAAATAAACGTTGAAACACGGAAAAGTTTTAGATACGAATCTCTTAATCCGCAAAACTTTGCATACAGAAAAAGAAACAAAGAAGCCAATTTGATAGTTCCTAAATTTTGTTAAAGATTGTCTGGTGTATCCCTATAGCTGGAATGCAGAGTACTCAAAGCAACATCTGAAACTTCTAGGATTTGCTGTTTGATTTGGATTTGTTGGAACCTGAATCCATTAGCTTAGTGCTTATATACACTTATACTCCCCGTCCATGAACATCGATCCGGACGATGTGGAAAAAGAAGATATTATAGCGAAAGGGGGAAAAGAATTCCAGTTTTCTTCCAATACATGGCTTATTGTTAGAAAAAAAAATGTTATTATTATATTAGAATTTGATTAACATAATGAATAATTAGTCAACTAAAACCAGCTGTTTTAGTATTTTAAAATGGTTGGTACAGCCAGGACCAGGGTAGGCAAGCACATGGGAAATGTTGGAGGACAGCATTATACCATGTGAACCTGTCAAGGCCAAAAAGTTAGCCAAGACAAAGTACCCTTTCAGATGAAAATATCTGCATGTTCTACTGGATAACTTGTGGGATTTTGCTTCATGGGGCTTGGGTTGCATTGCTAGGTTGCTAGGACACACCTCATATTGATCCCTCCCTGTGTAAAAATTCCAAACCCACTTGTTGCAAAATTTACAAATATTCACAATGATAGAGAATTCGAACCTGAGACTTTCAACAAAATCCTGTTTTGCCTAACTTTGGCTTTTGCAACATAGAAAGAGTTCTTAACATTAGGCCAAATGGTCATTCATTTCATTGGATAGAAATTGCAATTCCTATATATGTGCTTTTACACGTTTGAAAGGGGGGGG